AAACTTGTAATTATAATTTATAATTTGCAGCATGTTATTAAACATTTAAAGGATGAAATAAAAAAATTACCTATTGTATATGAAAGCCTATTTATAGCATGTGATAAACACTAAGTTATATGAATTTAGACGAAGCCATCAATTTGTTTTGTAATTTTTGGAGCTATATTTTTTACTACGCAATTATCAATTGTCTGTCTATTTATTTAAAAGTGTATAAAAAGAACTGTTGTCTGGGCGGGAAATGAAACGGCCGTGTAGGCTGCACTTTGGTTGCGCGCCAAAAGTGACCTTTAGTCCCGGATTCAGCTACGAACCGCGACTAAAGGGACCTTTAGTCCCGGTTTGTAGCGCAAAACGAGACTAAAGGTCACTTTTCATGACACACCAAAAGTGACCTTTAGTCCCGGTTTGTGCCCCCAACCGGGACTAAAGGTCACTTTAGTTCCGTTCGTGGCTGAACCCGGGACTAAAGGTGTGCGTCTTATATATGTTGGGGTGCCATCTCTTCTTCCTCGATCTGTTTCTTTTTGCCCGCCGACGAGAGCGCCTCTCGCCACCCTTCATCCCCGCCGGCCTCGCCTCATCATGCCGCGACCCCCCGGCCCCCATCGTGCGCGTGCAGCCGTTCTCCGCCTTCGTCCCCGCCGGATCTAGCCACGCAAGCCTCGTTGATTTCTGGTCGGCCGCTTCAATCCCCGGTCGTGCTTGCCACCCACGCCGGGCCCCTGGCCGGCCTCGCCCTCGTCTCCGACGCGCCTCCCTTCCTCGACACCGGTCGCCGTCGTCCCTACGCCGTCCCCACCCCTGTGCCCGGCCTTCCTACTGTGAAGCCGCGCCGCCACCGCAAGGTCATGCCGAGAACGACCACCGAGAAGTCCCTCGCTCGACGCCGTCGTCCTCGCCCCGCCCCGATCCGTATTTTGGTGATATGAATTTTGTTATATGAAAAATATTGATTTCAATGACTTTAGTAATATGCATTTTGGTGTATGAAAAATATTGACTATATATATGAATTTTGATATATAGAGTTTAGTGATGTGAATTTTGATATATAGAATTTAGTGATATGCATTTTTTTGTATGAAAAATGTTGACTCCAGTGATATATATGAATTTTGATATATATGGTTTAGTGATGTGAATTTTGATATATAGACTTTAGTGATATGTATTTTTTTGTATGAAAAATATTGACTCCAGTGATATGAATTTTGATATATTGACTTTAGTGAGAAGAGATGGCCGGACGTCTCCCTTCGTCGGAAGTAATAGGTTTTGGCGGCTATGTAAGTAGTATGAGATTCGATCCAATAGTGCCGAATGTACGGGGCAATCATCTAAACATAGTAAGCAACAATATATGTTTTCAATAAATTAATATGTTTTAAATACGCTTGTACAGATATAGTTTCTGATATGTATATATATATATATATGTGTGATTTTTAAATGTATCAAAAGTAATTGACCCGATCATTTAGTTTCAAGACACACTCTCAATTTTCGGGGTTGACAATGTCAATGTTGAGAGCTTTCAAGTAGATAATGGATGACTCATCCAATGTCGAATTGGATTTTCCATCGCTGCTAGAAGGTGGCGTAGACGTGAGGTTGTACAAATCTTAGAGACCGGAACGAAGGCACCCCACAAGATTATGGCAGAAAAATATGCTGTCCAGGCATGCTTAAGGACGCTTGCTAATATGGGATACAGCCTGCCTACATTTTCCTTCGTGAAGATAGATGCTATAAATGCGGACCTCTTTCATGACGTTTCGGGCTTTTGTGCATCGATTGCTCGAAACAACCTTAATGACGTGGTAAACTCGAAATCGATCTCATAGCATAATTATATCCAGATTTAATGTTATGTCAATTTGGTTGGTTCTCATACATTTTTTCTGTGAACACTTACAGGTCGAGGACTATCATTTAACCTATGCAGGTTGCAGCTTTGAAGCCATTCTATACTAGATTTTGGATCAATTGGGCTATGATTGGCAATATGCCTGAAAGGCCAACACTCACTACACAAGGATTTCAGGATAAGCTGCTTGTGACTAAGAAGGGATCTGACGACGCAGCCACTTCTCGACCACCGCTAATCGTCGTTAGTAGACCCTGTGCTCGTACTTGTGAAGCAAGAGAGAGTGCACTACTTAATGCGTTGCTCTATATCGATGGTATTATATCTTGCTGCATCGGTGACCTACACTACGCCGACTTCATAATACGACAAAGTCGTACTTGGCAATGAACTTATGTTTGCATGTACTTTGGTGTGTACTTGAACATCTAGCTAGTTTGTATTGACTTGGTCTAAATTATTATGGTTTGTATTAACTTGATGAATGATAATGATCTCATTTTAATATACAAGCTCTTGTTAATTAGTTTCATTCTTATTTATGGACGTACCATAGTAGCATATAATAAGTATACAAAAAGCTATTTAAAATGAAAACAAATAGAATGGAAAAGAAACCATAAAAGAAAAGAACAGAAAAAGAAAAAAAACATTTAGTGCCGGTTGGTTATACCAACCGGGACTAAAGGTGCCCATCCCGCTAACCGGGACTAAAGGTGTTCGCCCCAGAGATCAGGCTGGAGCGGGACGAGCACCTTTAGTCCCGGTTGTTATAACCAACCGGGACTATATGTTCCTATTTACTCTGGGTTGCCTGACCCGGAACTAAAGGGCGTGTCTTTAGTCCCGGATTCACAGTCCCGGTTGAAAAAATAGAACAGCGGTTTCCCAACCAGGATTGCAGACCGTATCTGCACCGGTGATCCTAGCCACGTACGTCCACGTGTATATTTGTGAGGGTAGGTGGTACTTGGGCAAAATTGGGCTCCTTGATCGGTGACGATGATCAGTAAGCATCAATAGGTGGACAGAAAATGATGAAAGCAAACCCGACCCAGATGGTCAGACCTGAACAGATGCACTGCCTGCCTCGGAGCTGCATATATGGGATCGTTGGCCAAAGAAAAAGAAGGGAACCATAGTACCATACCCAGACCCAAACCCAAATCCAAACCTGAACCTGAAATTGTTTGTTTCCAATACGCAGAGTAAGAGCGATCGCGACAGAGAGCAGAGCTAGGCTATCAAAGACAAGAATGAGCCTACATTAGTACGTTCAGCAAGCTAAACACATATATAGCGAAAAACAATCAAGAGCAACATATATTTTGGTCACATATTTTATATTCCCTAGCTCCTTGATCGGTGACGGCGAGCAGCATCAACAGGTGTGGTGGACAGAAAATTAAATAAGAATGAAAGCAAACCAGACCCAGATGGCCAGAGACCTGAAGCACCATGCACTGCCTGACTCCGATCGGAGCTGCAATTGTTGTTTCCAATACGCAGAAAGAAGGGAACCATATACCCAGAACCAAAACTGAACCTGAAATTGTTGTTTCCAATACGCAGAGTAAGAACAACAGAAAGTGTAGAGCTAGGCCACCAAAGGCAGCAGGAATGAGGTTACATTACTACGTTCAGCAAGTTAACACATGGCGAAAGCAATCTAGAGCACTATACATCCATATCTCTGCTCATCACAAATTATATTTTGGTCACATATATATTTAGAGATCAAAGTAGAAAGGAAAGCTCACCTGTGACACGTGGACGCTATGCATTGATAAGTTATATAGCACGTGAAGTAGGGATTATGGTTCGCCTATGTTTTGTCTAATGTCACATTTCTCTAATTTTAATAAAGTTTTTAGGTTGGGTAGTAAAGTGCATTTTCCAACCTCCAACTTACACGGTAGTATGCTTTTCAACCTTGAACAATAAAACTGGGTAATAGACGCCCTTCAACTATTAAAACTAGACAAATTTCCATTTACTGGTTTCAAAGGTGATTTTCTATTTTATACAAACAATAAAAATCTAGTTTACTTTCTAAAAATACATAAATAATTTATTCTAAATTAGAAAAACATTAAACTAGTACCAATTTTTTTTCTAAAAAAATATCTACCTATTTATGATCTATTGGCATTGAATTGGCCACTAATACCAAATCAGACTAGTATTGGAAATGAGCTACAATACCAAATCACATGTTTGGATGTAGATGAAATTGCTATTTGAAATCTAGGGACATGGAAAATACCAAATCATGTTTGGCTGTACATCTCATTAAATTGGGAATGCGTCTCCTTCGACGGGATGCGTGAGGAGGTACGACGGTATTGTGACATGGTTGGTAGCTAGAGGAGACATGGTGCTAAGGTTGGTAACTAGACCAAATCGATTCACTACGTGAAAAACGGTTTGTAGCAACGGGATAAATTTTTTGTAGGGGCGGCTGGTGATGGAGCCGCCCCTACAGTGGCGTGCTCGGGAGCCCAGAGACCAGCCGCCCCTACAAATGGAACAGCAGGGGCGGCTGGTGATACGAGCCGCCCCTACAAATGGGTCTGATTTGTAGGGGCAGCTCAATCACCAGCCGCCCCTGGTGTTGCGATTTGTAGGGGCGGCTCAATCACCAGCCGCCCCAACAAATGCTGCCGCCGGAACCCAAACCTAGACTTGGGCCTCACTTTTGCTGGTAGGCCACTGAAACCCGCAGGCCTGTTAAGCCTATCAACGATCTAAGCCCTCGATCTGAATCGAACGGCCGAAGTTCGTCCAACCAGCGACAAAACTACCCATCGGACATCCGAAACCCTAGGGTTTCATTCTCACTTATCCATCCGACGCCGCACTCTCTCTCATCCGACGGCGCTTAGATCCATGGGCCGCTACTACATCCACGCCGAGAGCCCCGGCGTGGAGGCCGCCTGCATGCTCCTCCTTGAGCTCTACGTGCACGTCGGGTGCCCGCGCCTCCGGGGACAGGGGAGGGAGGGGGCGGAGCTGCTGCTGCGGCAGGAGGCCCGCGCTGACGGGGCGCAGCCGCCTCCTACGCGTCAGCAGCGGTGGGGTCGGCGATGCGGCCGGCGCTGCGGGCGCCCACGGCCTCGCTCTCTTCATGGCTGCCTTTGGGGTGCCGGTCAAGTTCCCTGTGCAGGAGCTCTACGACCTTGTAGACGCTGCCGACGTCTCCGTCTACGTGGAGGTGCTCAAGACCTCCACACTCTTTGTCAGGAAGATGCGGGGTGAGAAAAATGAAATCTACTTCCCTCTTCTTCCCCTGAACCCTGATGACATTCAAGCGTTTCAGATTTTCCATGTTCCAATTCAGATTTCAGATCCTTTCAGTGCGTCTGTCATGCGGCGACGGATCTAGGGTGGTGGTGTCCCCCGTGGCATCTTTATGCCCCAATGTTTTAAATCTCCCGCTATAGCTACCGCTATAGCCTTTTAAGACAGGGTGTCGCTATTTGTGTTCATGTATAATTTAGCCGCTATATCCCGCTATAGCCCGATTTAACTCCGCTATTAGCTGATTTAGAGGTATACCGCTAAACACGTTAGCCCGCTATTTAAAACTATGTTATGCCCTCTCCCGGTCTCCTCCTTAAACCCTAGCCGCCAGTATCGTGCTGAAGCTGAACTGCTGATCCGTCTTCCAAGCTCTGGTAAGTCTCTCAGTTATCCTTTGTGCCTGGTACAGTTGATATGGGCGTTGTGAGCCTGAGACATCATAGGCGTGGGCTTGTGAAGCGGGATTCGATGGGGTTTGCGCCTCCGTCCATGGATCGGTGGATCCTATTGGGGAGTTTTGTGCCGTTTCTTTGGTCTTGGCTGGACTCTTGCCGCTGTTGCACGGCCGGCTGCAGCTGGCTTCTGGGCGGCCCCGTTGTTGCGTATTCTTTTGCCTCTGCTTGTATTGAAAGCAAGTAAGGTTCACAAGTCCTTGTTCAAGTAAGGATGATTGTTTCGGTGAGATTTTAGGGGCCCTGTTAATGATTGGAAAATTGATGGAAGTTTCTACGGTGAGATGTAGTTTGTTCATGGACCAAACGATAAGAGAGTAGCAATTTGGGAATATTAGAGAAATTTCTTTGTAGTTAGGATTGTATAAGAAAACGCAAGGCTTTCGTGCAGAGGTGCCTGTTGTGATCTGGTTTGGTGGTTGCTGCTTCTTTCTTTCTCAGTCCTATCGCTGTTCATGACCGTGTCCAGCGATAGGAATATGATTCATCTTTGTTTTGCATCCTTGTGTAAGCACTAAGCACTATGTGTTTGTTCTGTTCTTTGTACGTCATTGCATCTAATAGTTAATACTAGTACCAGACTGGATAAAAAAAAAACTTCAGTACCCCCTCTGCAGGGTCTCCTGCTTTTGTTTGCTGCGATTCTTGTTATTATTGGGAGTAATTCCTCTTTATTCTCGTTGGATTTATCAGGTATCATTCCTCTGCGCTGATTCAAGATGTATCTCCAGTACTACATCAACGAGAAAGGGGACAAGGTCTACACCACCAAGGTTTGTGTATGAGCTTGCACTTAAGTTTCTCTGAATGGCTGATGATTTTGGGTGTTACTTGTTAGCCTCTGCTAATTTGGGTGTCTGTGTTCTTGCTTTGCAGAAGGAGTCGCCTCTTGGGGTGCCGACGCAGTCTGCTCACCCAGGTACACTGCCTTTGTTCACTGGAGTTACCTTTGCTGCTTCTGTTATAATTTGCCTGTCAAGATATGATAGTTGGATAGTTTTCTTTTGTTGGCTATAAGGATGCAGAGTCATGGTTGTCTAATTATGAGCAGTTGGCATGTTTCTAGACCCCCTGACCGATTTGTGTCATTCATCCAATAGTATGTTGTATCTTCAATTTCTTCTGCGTTTAGATTCTGGATATTTTGAGCAGACAAATAAAAAATTGCTTGCGCAACATTTAAGAATGGAGTTAAGAGTACCGGTACCTATCAAAGCTACAGATCATTCTTTCTTTTCCTGTGACAATTCCCTGTGCTTTATATGATCAATATGAACTCACTAGGCATTCGCATAATATAGAGTTCTAGTCAATCATGAATGGCTTTACCATGAGCACTGTCTGCCAGGTTAAAGCATCATTCTGTTGTATCATTGGACTAGATGTAAATAGACTGTAGAGAGATAGAAGCTATCGTACTTTACCTGAGGCGAACACTTGCATTGTGGATGTATAGGACCAAACAAAGATGTAACCTGCAGAACTGAAACATGTGGAATTCATTCTTTTTTATGGTTGCATTTGTGGTTTTGATTGTTTAATAATTTGGGTGACCATGGACCTCGCATCATGATTTACTAAAATATTTCCTTGTGGTGCAGCTCGCTTCTCACCAGATGACAAGTACTCTCGCCAGCGGTTCCTAATGAAGAAGAGATTTGGACTTCTGCCAACTCAGCAGCCAGCACCGAATTACCGAAGCTTCAACTGTCCAACCATGCATGTTCAGTTCGTGTCACGGCTTGTTGGTTGGAATGTTGAATGGGTATTAAGAACATAAATCAAACACTGCTAGGCACTACTATGGCATCTCTCCAGCTTTTGTTTGCTGCGATTCTTGTTATTATTGGGAGTAATTCCTCTTTATTCTCGTTGGATTTATCAGGTATCATTCCTCTGCGCTGATTCAAGATGTATCTCCAGTACTACATCAACGAGAAAGGGGACAAGATCTACACCACCAAGGTTTGTGTATGAGCTTGCACTTAAATTTCTCTGAATGGCTGATGATTTTGGGTGTTACTTGTTAGCCTCTGCTAATTTGGGTGTCTGTGTTCTTGCTTTGCAGAAGGAGTCGCCTCTTGGGGTGCCAACGCAGTCTGCTCACCCAGGTACACCGCCTTTGTTCACTGGAGTTACTTTTGTTTCTGCTGTTATAACTTGCCTGTCAAGATATAATAGTTGGATAGTTTTCTTTTGTTGGGTATAAGGAGTCATGGTTGTCTAATTATGAGCGGTTGGCATGTTTGTAGACTTGGACCCCTACAAATGCTGCTGTTTATGCAGGTGGAGACAATTAGGCTTACTGAGTCATTGTCTTGTACATTCTCAAGAATTGCTGCGGTGTCTTGTTCTCTCTTGTGTTACTTGCATCGAGCGAAGATTGGTTTTCACAATACTTTTCATATACCTATGTGCAGTCTCATAGTTTAAATGAACAGCAAGCACAATGATTTGCACCGTGTATTGTCATGGAATATTTGTTATAATCTGGTATAAATAAATGTTCTGGTCGAATTTGAATTATAAATTTAATTTTTTTGGCGAAAAAATAATTTGTAGGGGCGGTTGGTACTGTAGCCGCCCCTACAAATCGATTTGTAGGGGCGGCTGGTGTTCTCAGACCGCCCCTATAAATCAATTTGTAGGGGCGGCTACAGTACCAACCGCTCCTACAAAATGATTTGTAGGGGCGGCTGGTAACACCAACCGCCTCTACAAATGCATGATTTGTAGAGACCCTTGCATAGGGGTGGCTGGCCGAACTACCCCTACAAATGCTTATTAGCCGCCCCTAAAAACCATATCTGACGTAGTGATTGTTACGTCTACCTGAGAGAAGATCGAAACCCCGTCCCTGTCATTACGCATATACAGGATTGTAAGCTAGGTCGATCGAGCTTCATACACATTTCTCAGATACACACGAGATACATACTCAGAACCACCGATCCCAGCTCAAACGATATGCATGTAATATATAGATTACATGTCTCATCATTGTAGCGTGAACATTTTACAAACTAAACTGAACAAACCATATAAAGGATTGCATGTGTCTCGTGTAGCAATTTCTGTTTCGCCGTGCCGGGGCCGGGGCCGGGAGGCGGGAAGTGGAGCCAGAGCGCGCCTTTGGCGCTCTTTCCCTTTGGTATGTGCAGAACGCCTGGCATCATACATGGACCGAATTCCTCGCCGCCGCGTTCTGCGCTATCACCGCATGACTCACGGCCTCACATCACACGGGCCTCGAAGACGAACTCGAGGTCCTCGTCTCGACGGTTCGGCCCATGTATGGATGGCCCCTGCCTCCTCTCGGAAGGAAACTGCACTTGCTTGAGCTAGCCCAAATTACCGGTCTATAACTGCTTTGGCCCAAACAGAGCAGGGTATCGCCGTATCCCATGGTCCACTGCTCGGACTGCTGGATGTCGTCACGGCGGTAACTGGGCTGGGCCGGAAGAAGAAGAACAAGAGGGGTGATTATATTGCGCAAAATCTAATAAGCGACTGGTCGCGCCCGAGCTCGAGCGAGCGACGTGGGCCTCGTGCGGCCGGTCCACCGGTCCTCTCCGCCCCCCACCCCACCCTCACAGCCAGCTTTGGAGATGACGACCGCGCCCGCGCCCGCGGCTAGGGTTCCGGCGAGGAGGTCGCTGGCGGCTCTAGAAGGAGGTTCGGGGGGAGGCGGCCGCGACACGGCAGTGGTGGCAGGTTGATGGCGACGCGGTAGGGGATAACCGGTTGGGAAGGGCAGGCGGCGGGGGCGGCGCGGCAAAGCCCGCCGGCGAGGAAGAAGAGAGGGCGGGGTCGACGAGGCGGGGGCAGATGGTGGGCGGGCCGGCCGGCAACGAGGCAGCCACGGCCAGGGGCGGCGGGGGAGGAGGCGGGGGTGGAGGGAGGAAGGGCATGTGGCGCCTGGAGGAAGAAGGCGCGCGGAGCCGGGGTCGCGCGCTCCCGCAGCGTGCGACGGGTCGCGGCTTAACGCGGTCCATTATATTGCTGTTGAAGAAAAGGGGAGAGCGCTGAAGAAGGTGTAAATTGAATGGTTATTTGGATTGGTACCATTACAATTCTCAGAATTTTGAGATGTACCATTAAAATTCGTCTATTTTGAGATCTACCATTATAATTCATCGTTTCACTGAGTTTCACCATTCTCTACGTCTTCCAGCTGCTTGGGCCCACTGGCAGTCGTATGCGCACTGTTCTCTTTTATGTATGGACGATTTTGCCCCCGTCCGAAGATGAAGAGCCATGCGCTGCGCCCGTGGCCCCATCTCTCAGTCCCTTCTCCTCCTCGCGCTCACTCTGTCTCTCACTCGTCCTCCCAATGCGGCGACGGCGGGGACCTGAACCCTAACCCTAGCCATCGGCGTCCTGGACCCCGCGCCCGAGTTAGCTGCCACCGGTGTTCCCTTGCTTCCAAGGCCTCAATCTGCAACTCAGAGCAGATGAAGCCGCAGGTAGTATGATCACCCTGCACACAAAAAAGCATCAATCAGAGTAGCATCAAGAGACACAGTGAGGTCAACAATGTCAAGAATCCTAACCTTAATGTTGTACGGGCACATGAGAAACCACTGACCCTTTGTCGCCGACTGCTTGCTCTGGATCCGGACCAAAGCAACATGGCAATAAGGGCACTCCCTTCTGCCGCTGCCCGTCGCGCTCGAGCCCGTCGAAGGTACCTTCATCGGGCTTCCAGTCCACTGCCCGGCCATGGCTCCAATCGTCCGGGATCTGGGAGGACAGCTCGAGCGCGGGCACGGGCTCCAGGACACCGGCGGCGGCGGCTGACTCGGGCGCGGGCGCGGGCTCTAGGACGCCAGCGGCTAGGGTTAGGGTTCGGGTCCCCGCCGTCGCCGCATCGGGAGGACGAGTGAGAGACAGAGTGAGCGCGAGGAGGAGAATGGACTGAGAGATGGGACCACGGGCGCAGCGCATGGCTCTTTCATCTTCGGACGGGGGCAAAATCGTCCATACAGAAAAGAGAACAGTGTGCATACGACTGCTAGTGAGCCCAAGCAACTGGAAGACGTAGAGAATGGCGAAACTCAGTGAAACGATGAATTATAATGGTAGATCTCAAAATAGACGAATTTTAATGGTACATCCACTACTAGAGAACAGACTTTAAAACGATGTCCTAATTTGGCATTAGCCTCGGCATTTTTTGCCTCCGGGACTAAAGGTTTCTTTAGTCCCGGTTGGTAGGTTCCTGCCCAACGGTCGTCCGCGGGGCAGAGATCTTTAGTCCCGGCTGGTATTACCAACCGGGACTAAAGGTAATACCAGCCGGGACTAAAGCTTTTAGTCCCGGTTTGGGTGATGCCCCGGGAATAAAGATTAATCTTTAATCCCGGTTTGGCCCCCTAACCAGGACTAATTATCCCGGCCTATAGACCAACTCATTTCTTCCTCCCCGAGCCCGAGCCATTTCATTTAAACTCACTGCCTCTGTTCTGAGAATTGTAATGGTACCGATCCAAATAACCCTAAATTGAAGGGACAAGAGGAGGCGTTGTCTTGGCTGAAAAGCTGGCCGAGACTGCTAGTATGCGTGAGTGTTGGATGACAGCTATGTACTGGCCAGTTTGCAGCATCCGTATATCCGATAATGATACGCAAAGCTCTTCATCTTGTGCATTGTGCACCACCATGATGTTCATGCTTAATTCGTCCAGGGAACAAAGTGCAATAAACTGGAGCAGAATAAACGGAGGGCAACAAAATAAACATTTTCCTTATAGGAGTAGTTTACACTTTACAAAGATGGTGACATGATTATTTGCAGACTAGTAGTATGAATCTCAGCATATACAAACAGCACAAAGGAATAGACGCCGATGCAATCAAGACCTAGAGGACGATTGACTGCCCCGCAAACAAGCTTCTTAATCATTATAACCACGAATGATGCTCCTGACATGAGCGGTTTGGTCAGAAGTAAGCTTACTGCATGTGGGCATGGCCAGAGCATCCCTTGCCATCCGAGCCACCGTCGGGTACTGAACCGAGCCATAAATTTTCCACCATTTGAGAATGTCAAAATCCTCTGTTGGACGGGTGGGACTATCTTGCATGTAACAATCGAGTTCCGACTCACCATAATCCTGTGTTTGCTCTGTTGGATTACAGCTATCAATGGCCATCTCCTCACTACTGTCATCTGAATCTTCAATGTAACTGCTATAGAGCTCTTTAAGCCTTCTTGTTACCTCGGTGCAATGATTTGCGGCCTCTGACTCTGAACCAAACACGGTCTCAAAATTACTTTTTACGTGCCTGAGTTTGTACCGAGGGTCAAGTACAAGTGGTATAGACCAGACCATGTACGAATCTTCTATAGCCTTGTCAACGGTGCACGGTGCCTCTCGAAGAACGTCTGCAACATTCTTGTTAGGAAAATCCAAATACATGTCTGGATGCGCAGCACTCGCTACCGGACTGCTTGAATTTACCGAGTGTCCGAAACACTCGGCAAACCACCTAAAACACTCGGCAAATGGTTCGCCGAGTGTAACACTCGGCGAACAGCACTCGCCAAAAAAAGTGACGGCAAAGCCAATTTTGCCGAGTGTTTTTTATCGGGCACTTGGCAAAGCCTTTGCCGAGTGCCCGACACTCGGCAAAGTTGAAACTAAAAAAAACCCGAAAAAAATGGGAATTTTTACCCAAAAAAAATGGAATATTTTTTATCGATGGAGGCCCCCACCGGCCAGCGCCCACCCATCTACAACAATTTTCGCATGAATTTCATGGCTACGCGACCGACGCGATTCAAACCCGAGACCTCTCACTGTGCACGTACCTTCTCTACCACTACACCACACTCTCACTTGTGTCTGGATTCCGTTTTAGTTCCCAATATATTATATTAAACCGAGTGTAAATTGCATGTTTGAGGCCCTAAACGAATTCAAATAAAAAAGTTGTAAACTACAAAGTTTCATAACTTTTCGAGATCTACACTTTTAGTTTAGGAAGTTTTTCCATTCGAGGTCGTTTACAAAATTTGAATTTTAAAATTTTGAAATTCAAACACAGTTTTGCATGACAAGATGTTTTCAAATCAAAAAGTTGTAAACAACAAAGTTTCATAACTTTTCGAGATCTACACTTTTAGTTTAGGAAGTTTTTCCATCTGAGGTCGTTTACAAAATTTGAATTTTAAAATTTTGAAATTCAAACACAGTTTTGCATGACAAGATGTTTTCAAATCAAAAAGTTGTCAACTACAATGTTTCATAACTTTTCGAGATCTACAGAGTTTATTTTAGTTGTTTTTTCATCCGAGGTCGTTTGAAAAGTTCGAATTTTAAAATTTTGAAATTCAAACGCAGTTTTGCATGACAAGATGTTTTCAAATCAAAAAGTTGCCAATTACAAAGTTTCATAACTTTTCGAGATCTACAAAGTTTATTTTGGTTGTTTTATTATCTGTTCATCCGACATGGTCGTTCTAACATTATTCACAAATCTTATATATCTCTCTTGTAGTTTGATAAACTACAAGAGAAATATGTTAGATTTGTGAACAAATTTATTTTCACTTTGTCGTATGAAGAAAAGACCAAAACAAACATTGTACATCTTGATGAGTTATACAACTTTGTAGTTGAAAACTTTTTCATTTGAATTAATTTACTACTTCAAAATGTGCTTTGAAATTTTCTTTGCCGAGTGTCAAAAAAAATAACACTCGGCAAAGAGCTTCTTTGCCGAGTGTAAAAAAACACTCGGTAAAGAGACTCTTTGCCGAGTGTAAAAAAAACACTCGGCAAAGGCGTATTTGCCGAGTGCCCGAAAAAGAACACTCGGCAACTAGCCGGTCTCCGATAGTGACTAGCATCTGATAGTTGAGATTGTAAAACAAACCGAGTGTAAAAAAAACACTCGGCAAAGAGACTCTTTGCCGAGTGTAAAAAAAAACACTCGGCAAAGAGCCTCTTTGCCGAGTGTCAAAAAAAAAACACTCGGCAAAGGCGTATTTGCCGAGTGCCCGAAAAAGAACACTCGGCAAACCACCTGACACTCGGCAACTGGCCGGTCTCCGGTAGTGACTAGCATCTGATAGTTGAGATTGTAAAACAAACCTCACTTTAAACAGCTCTTCTAGACAAAGATTTGAAGTGGGAGTGGTGGAGGCCAAAAGTTTATTAATGGCACGGTATATCACCCGCAAAATATTGCACATTAGTATTTGGAGATTTGATTCCGATTCTAACTTTTGAATTTGTATTTCCAAAGAACAATAGCACGAATACCAGCGTTCTTCATAGTCCCATGGTGAAAGATGTTCCTGGTATTCTTCTTTTGACAATCCGTCCATGTACCATATCAAATCTGCTGTGAATTGTGAATCTGGAAGAAGGAATCGAGCAATAGAGTGAAGCACATGGTCCATATAGGTGGCACAAATTATCTCTCTGTCAGGGTGAGGAATTTCATAATAAATTTCGTACTGTAAGTGATCCTTCAATTTAATGATGAGTTCAAAGTCGGCGGTCATTTCCCCTGCTATCATGAACGGGTAATAGATAATTTGCTGTGCAATGGTGGATAGGAGGCGGTCACTATAGTCAAGGGAAATCATAAACATTCCCCGTAGCGGGTCAAGACTGTAGTGACCACCAGGAGGTAAAACCTTGAAAGCATCCATGACCACCCTATGAAGATTCCATTGATCATCAATAAAGTGGCACGTTAGGTACAGGGACTTCCTCCGCCGCCTCCAAGACTTTAGCTTTACCCACTGCAAAACTGGGGTTGCCACTGCAAGACTTTAGCAAGGACAAGGAATGCTTCATGTGGTCTTGAAAGATACCAGCGCACATCTCCTCAATTTTACAGCGCGAAGGCAGCTTGAATCCAGGGTTGAGGCGATGCACGAAGCTCCTGAAGTGGTCGTCCTCCACGACTAACGGATCATATCCATGAAGCCCGATCATCCGAGCGAGGTCTCTGATTGCATCCTTTTCGTCCACGTCCGGCTCGTGGTGGGCTTGTCCTTCAAGGCTGGGTTCTTGTGACAGAGCACAAGGCAGGGGCGGCAGCGGTGTCTGCTGCTGCTGCTGCTGCTGCTGTAGCGGTGGTGCTGCCCCCATGTCCTGCACCTTCTCTGTGCTGGATTTAAACTGTCGTTGAAAAATCACCTGCAAGGATTCATCTTCGTTGAGCATTGGCTCATGATCCGTGGATGCACCACTGGAGCCTGAAGGAGCGCAGGGCGGCAGCGGCGGCTGTGGCTGTTGTGCTGCTGTTGCTGCCCCCTCGGCAGCAGCAGCTTCCTGTGGATGAAATTTTTTGAAGTGCTTCCACAAGTTGCTCGTACCATCTTTTGTTTCAAACTCCTTTTTATCTGTGCAATAGTTGCACCTGGCTTTGTTGATGACGCTCCCATGTCCATCCGTTAAACGGGTGAAGTACTTCCACACGTTGGACTTCTTTGGCATCTTGCCTCGTCTCGTCTGTGTTCTTTGCTGTCGCTGCCCTGGCTGCTCTCCTATGCCTGTATGTCCTGAGGAAGAGGAATTGCCAAATCAGTAGGGAAGATTGGTTTGCTTTGCTGTATATGAATAACGAGATGCTGATGCAGCAGTAGCACTGCAACAGGCAGTACCAGAACCGATGTATGCCAATCGCTAAACACAGAGAGAACCAGAGAATGGATTATTCAAGGTATCATACAAAATCAGCTTTTCGATTTAGGCCAACAAGAACACCTTGCTAGTCCAATTCATAAAATAGGCTGGTTTGTAAGTTCAATTGTCCTCTGTAAGATCCACTGATTCCTCTTTGCAAGCATATACGAATTCTTTTCCTTTTTGACTGAAAAACGGCTGGATGGCAAGAATACCAAAAATCCATGAAATCGAACTATATCCAGCAGGCCAAGAAAATAAGGGAAATTAATTACGGAGAAGCAGGGCTGATTTTGGACTAGAAAGGCTTACAAGTTGCCTCAGGTGGACAAAAGTAAAGAAGAACAGTTCCGTCCGATACGGCGCAGGGGATGGATGGAGGGGAGAGCGTCTGGTGCAGTGTCTGATGCAGCGTCTGGTTTGTAAGTTCAACTGGAGGGCGGCCGGATCCAGGGAAGAGGGGCGGGGCGGCGGCCGGAGAAAGGGAGAGGAGGGGCGGGGCGGTGGCCGGAGAGAGGGAGGAGGGGCGGGGTCCCCGCCGGATCCGGGGAGGAGGGGCGGTGCGGCGGCCGGATCCGGGGAAGAGGGGCAGGGCGGCGGCCGGAAAAAGGGAGAGGAGGCGCCGTGCGCATGGATTTGGAGAGAGGGAGGCGGGGCGGTGCGGGAAAGGACGACGGCCGGACAGTTATAGCAAATTTTCTTTGCCAAGTGTAAATTTCTTTTTTTATTTTTTTTCTTCTTCTTTTTTTATCGAGTGTTTTTTTACATTCGGTAACCTTTTTTGTCAAGTGTTTTTTTTTGAGTATTTTTAGCGTAGCACTCGGCAAAGAATTTATTCGTCGAGCGTTCGAGAGAATACACTCGGTAAACATAAAAACACTCGGTAAATTTGAGAATTCGACAAATTTAAGGATTTGGGTAGTGATGGCAGCCTGTGTGGCCTGTAGGGGGCGTTGCCGAGTCTTCTTGGCTCACTAGTCGAAGTCCCTGCTTGCTTGGCTGCTTCGTGAGCTGTACTTGTGGCCCGTTTGGTCCCTATAGCATATACGGAGTAAAAAAAATGTAGCACGTACGTCTCCACGTGTTTGACTTACCGCTCCTTGGTACTCAATCCATCCCAAATTGTAAGACGTTTGACTTTTTTGACACCAAGTTTGACCACTCGTCTTTTTCAAAAATTTATGTAAAATATCACTTTTTTCGTCGTGGTTTGGTTTATTAATAAAAATTCTTCAAGAATAACTTAAATTTGACTATATTTGCACAAATTTTTTTAATAAGATGAGTGGTCAAACTTAGGGCCAAAAAAGTCAAACGTCTTACCATTTGGGGTGGAGGGAGTACCTAATAAGGTTGCCATGATTAGTTTTAGAGTCTGCTTGGATTGCATTGCAATTTAAGGTTGCCATATATAGTTAATTTTATATAACCATAACTTTTTGTATAGCACTTGTTTACTCTCCCTCCATTCTAAATTATAAAACATTATGGTTTTTTCATATACATTACTTTTACTATATATCTATATTTAGTGTGTATCTACCTGTGCATGACAAAAACTATGCTTTTAGAAAAGTCAAGATATCTTGTAATTTGGAATGGAAAAAGTTTCATATAAAACGGAATGGAGATAGCTCCATACAGAAAGCTAATATAAGGATATTAATTAGACATGACTCTCCATTTAGTTATATCTCTTAATTGTTATTGACCTGTGGGGTATAACATGTGTTTATCTCCTACAACTAAAAAAAACAAAGTGTGGATATTTTTTGGCGCGACATTTGTTTTGGTTCGTTCGTCTGCCCACGCCTGTGATCCCACGACATCTCCTGCATGCACCGCCCTCTTGCGACAAACACGGAAAGTCTTGACCCTGATTTGCATGCGCTACAAATACGGAAAGTCTTGACCCTGATTTGCATGTGCTACAAACACGGAAAGTCTTGACCCTCATTGCCTCAAACAAGGAAAGCGATCACCCACGTCTCACGCTCGATCATACCGCCCTCGTACCACAAATATGAAATTCTTGACCCTGATTTGCATACGCTACAAACACGGAAGACCATCATCGCTCGTCGCTGCACGATCGAACGCGTCTTCTTGGTAGGACTCAAGCGCGTCACTGGTCGCTGCACGGAGACGATCGTCGCGCGCCCCATTCCTCAAGCCCCTGCATGATCGAGCCGCCCCTACTTCTTCCTCGTCGTGTAGTGGAGAAGCAACAGCAATGGATCATCCATCGTCTGCCTACCGGTGCATGCACCTGTGGCTACATCATCGATCGCCGCAAGGTCGCCGCAAGATCACCTCCCCGTGCGATCTCCCTTCCCCGTGCGATCTCCCCTCCACGACATGTTCCATAGTCTGGTCTGTGCGCCCGCGCGCGTCATCCTCCCCGTGCGCCACACTACCGCCTCCACGATGTCACGCCGTCGTCCTCGCCATTCGCCCGCATCGTGCACCTAGAAACACCGCCGCCTCCACGACGTCCGCGCCGTAGTCCTCGCCATTCGCCCGCGCCATGCACCCGAGCCGTCGTCCTCGGCTACCGCGCCGCTACCTCGACGCCACCTGAGTCGTGCACCCGAGCCGTCGTCTTCGCATATGTAGACCGATTGACGTCGCCCGTCCTCCATCGCTCGCCGTTCATGATGTTACACAACCATAGTTCATGATGCTGTAGACGTTCTTGTTATATAGTTAATCATTTATTTTTTCGATATTGTGTGCCTGCACATTTGGATGCCATTGTTTTTTTAGCATAGTTAGCCCTTTGTCTGTATCAATCTCGTTTCAAGTAGCTCGAGCCTTATTTATTTACTGATAGTCTCAATTCATGAGCTTGGTGTACCAATGTTAGATACTTTACTGGTAAAATATATTAGATACTTTTCTCTTGTCAACTTTTTTTATGGCCACTGAATTTTTGGCTTGCTGATTTTTTTTATTACACTGGATGGTATTCAGATGTTTGGTATCAGGCCTTTGCACCTCTAGACCTCGCTCGCTGAATTGGTGTTCCCGTAACAGCAACACCAAGCCAGGTCACAAAGTTATCTCTGCACTGCAAAATATCTATGGATTGATCTTTATTTATTTTTGAACAATCTGATGTAGGCAGGCAAGAAAAAGAATGATGATTTCTCACTGAAGTTAAACCTTGAAAAAGAGGGATTTCTCACTGAACTTGCCCTGAATTGTTGCAATTTATTGCCATGGTTTACATTTGTAAACTCTAGAGGATGAGTCAATGGTTGGCATTAATACACTGATGCTTGATGCAGAGCTGCCATGTTATTGAGCTTAATATAATGATATTGTAACTAAGGTAACTTTTTATGTCTTGGCATGGCCATGTTGAGTTCAGGTTATAAATATGAAGCTCAGATAATTTTACTGGTAAAAATAGAAAGATGACAAGCAGTTAAGTTTTCAGGTTATACATATAAAGCTCAGATAATTTTACTGGCAAAAATAGGAAGATGACAATTAGTTCAGTTTTACGAGAACGTGACAATTCATAGACATTGTTTTCTTAAAAAAATTATGGTCCTCTCTCTTCAATTGAATTAGTGATGATGTAAAAAAAAGTTAAAAACCAACTATGTCTCTCCATCACATGTTTTCTTAAAAAAACACAGTGAATAGTCAACAAAAATATGGCGGGGCATTGCTTATTTGTTAATTATCTGAGTCAACAAAAATTTGGAAAGGTCTATATAGTAGAGTCGGTGAGCTTGTGAATGTGAGTATTTAATTTCACAGTATTGTTATCTTATCGTGTGATCCGTATGTTTTTAGTATAAATTATTAGTTATCCCGTAGCAACTCATGGACACGCTACCTAGTGGACTAGTATGTCACAATTGTAAAAAGACAATAGAGCGATGTCCAATTACATAATAATGAATATGTAACCGAAACAAAAATAAAAGGCCAAAACAAAAGAACAAACACACACAACCCACAATTTCAATCGGACAATGGCGCAATAAATTCTTCTTATTCGGTGTCATCTTCTCTAGCAGAAAGGGTTGAGGTCCATACTCCATCCGGTTTCTTGGAATAACCACGAAGGATGCTCCTGACCTGGTCGGAAGAAAGCTTGCTGCAAGCATTACTGGAAAACTGTACTTTGCCGAGTGCCTGATACTTTGCCGAGTGCAAAATATCGTGGCACTCGGCAAAGCTATATTTTGTCGAGTGTAGCACTCGGCAAAATTTTGCACTCGGCAAAGTCAGGCACTCGGCAAATCTGGACTTTGCCGAGTGCCTGGCACTCGGCAAAGCCAGGCGCTCGGCAAAATTTAGCCGGACCGTGACGGCGGCCACCTACCGTCAGATTTTGCCGAGTGCCAGCCATCAGGCACTCGGCAAAATTTGTTTTTTTTTTAAAAAAAACTTTGCCGAGTGCCATCTTTGGGCACTCGGCAAAATGTTTTTCTATTTTCTGAAAAATTTTTTTGCCGAGTGCCTCCTGGGCCCAGCACTCGGCAAAGACATTTTTGCCGAGTGCTCCCCATGGCACTCGGCAAAATATATTTTTTTTTTATTTTGGATCCAAAATTTTTTGTGTAGCCTTGTGACAGTATTTAAAGCTCTACTCTAAAATTTGGTGAAATTTTGACTTTTTTTAGGTATATTTCATTAATTTATTTTGTTTACGTTGATTTTTTGTTTTTCAAATTTGAACTATGAGGTCCATGGAATAATGGAATTTGGACATCCAAAATTGATATTCATGATATTTAGGTAATTTGAGGCATCCAGTCACATGAAATTCGAGCATCTCATTCATGAACATG